GCTGGGACAGGGGCTGTGCTGAAATGATGCTGGGGAAGCCAAATGAGTCCCTCCACATCCGTCATCCACCAGCTGAAACACAGCCTGAAATCAGGGTGTCAGGTGGAGGTTGAGCCTTTCCTCTTATTGAGAGATCTCACGTAATTAATTCTCCATAAAACACAGCCTGGAGCGACTGTGGGACAAGGGGAGATCTGCACCAAGAGTTGGTCTGCAGGGCAGCTCCCTCCTGCTGCTTCCCTCTGGAAGGGACAAGACATATTTTTTTTGCCTCTTACAAAGCCCAGCCAAAAATAAAAAAAATAAAATAAATAAATAAATAAAAAAAAGAAGTGCTAAGAAGTTAAACAGGGACAGCACCAGCCCACCAGCAGCCTCACTATTCCTTGCAACATGTTATTTTCTTGTCTGATTTGTCAGAGAGTTTCCTGTTAAGCGCAGAGACATCAAATTTAATGGTCTGGCTTCTACCTCCTTTCCCAGGGAGAAGGGAGATGTGGTAGGGAAACATCCACCTGTGAGATATGATAGAGAAATGTCCACCCACCGACCCTCAGGGGTATCACCCCCCTGTCCTCCACAAAAAAATGCCTTAGGCATCAAGAAGTACCAACCTCATCCCTATAGAGATGGTGGGACAGACAAAATGTCCTGAAGGTCTCCCCAGAGCAGGACTCGAGGATTCCCCCAACACACAGCACGTCCTGCCTTGTTCTCACTTCCAAATGGACACCAAAAATTCAATAATCTGAAGTCTGTGCTAGCAGGGAGCCATCAGAGCAAGGTCCAACAACTCACTTGAACAAGTGATGTCAGGAGTTTGACTGTGTTTCACCCAAACAACCACAGCCAATATTTAACAGGTTCTTTTTCCTTGCCTGGTTTTCCTTTCAGAACAGAGCAGCAGCATCCCAGGATGCTCGTGTTATCGAGGGGACAGCAGTGCATGAGGAGGTGTATTTTTATATCACGAGTCCTTTGGCACAAGGATTATCCAGTATAAGTTTAAAACTCACCACCAGCATTTCCCCACCAGCACAGGATGGGGTGGGAGGGAATTTGCAAACCAGTTAACACATGCATTGGATTGGTGTTGGATTGGTAACATTCTTCAGCAGTATGACAGACTCAGACCCCAAATTTCGCCGCGGGTTCAAGAGAGATTTGGTAATTTTGCTATAAATACCCATTTTTTCCACTCAAACACCGCCCTCTGCTGCAAGCGGAGATCGATGCTCGGCAGCAGATTCCGGAGCGTTGCCCTTGGCAACGCCGTTGTTGAAGGCGATAAAAATTCTGGTGTCTCTCTCCGGTTTAGAAAACGCCAGAGCATCAAAATGCAAATGATTCAGCCTCCTGCAAAGGGCATCTGAGGTAAAGGGATATGTTTAACTCGGGTGTCTCTGGGAGGAAGGCGCTGAGAGCTGAAGCAGAGCTCCTTGGGCGTCTGTGGTGTTGTCACCTCGCTGCCCTGGAGCAGAGGGGGAGGGAGGGTCCTGCCCACTCCTGCCACACTTGTGCGTTCTGTAATCTGAGAAGGAGGTCAAACTCACTCCAAACCGGGATTTTGAATTCCTCTGTAATACATCACCTTTTCCCACAGTGGATCCCACTGTGCTCATTCCCTCTTTTCCCCTCGCTCTTCCTTCCCTTACAATCAGATAAGACTCAGATAATCAGCTGTAATTGCCCCAACTTGGCAGAGGAGAAACAGAGCTGGTCTGATTGTTCTTATTTGCATTTACACCTCAACAGTCCCCTCCAGGCCAAAGCTGCTCGATCTTGGCCTCGGCAGTTCAGCAGCAGCAAAAATTCTGCAGAGTCGTTTTCCTCCATTTCTTGGAGTGTGGGTTCTACCACTTTAAATACAGAAGTGTTTGCCCTCGGGTCACCAGGGACTACTGAGGAAGAAATACTGAGGAAGAAATACTAAGGAATAAGAGTTGCCTGAGTCTTGGGCTTCTATTTTTCCCGTTGCAATAGAAAACAAAATTAGAACTTTCACAAAATAATCTGTTATTTTTAAAGACCATTTTGTTCTTTTCTCAAAATGGTAATTTCAGAGGGATCAGACTTGAACCACTTGATTCCTTATTTTTTCATTTTCATGTGGGATTAGTAGTCCTGGATATTGAAGGGTTGCACTGCCATGGGACATAAGGAATTTTGAGCTGGTTCTCATTGAAACATTCCAGTCCTTCCAGGAAATATCAATAATAAATGTCATTTGTTTCCATGACCAGGCCCCCTTTCTCTGGTGAGACTGCAAACCTCTGACACCTCCCTGCAGACATGGTGAGATGAACAGAGATGACAGAGCTGGGAGATGAATTCTCTGAGCAGGAGAACAGGCACAGATTCTCACAGGGGCTGATTTCACCCTCCCAGCCCGGGGCTTCCAACAAGGTCTGCCCACACTTGGACCAGGAGGAAGCATTTTTTCCTGGGAACAGCCCTTCCACAACAGGATTAATGGAAGAGCAGCAGTGGATCAGCCTGGAATTCCCTGGGCAGAGCTGGGGTCCCTTGGGTGGCCAGTTGAGCTCAGCACGAGACCCTGGAGATGTGTAAAGTCATGAAACTGGTGCTTTAAAATTCTCTGAGGGGAACTATTCATTTCTGCTCGTCTGGTTTGCCTCAAAATGGATTTAGAGGGAAGCACCTGAGCTGTGCTAACATTGGGAATTGTAGAGTTTATAATGGATGAGAGAAATGCAGAGAGAGCTCCACGAAGAGTGGGGGAAGGCACTGGGGTTTTGTAGGAGCAGCAAAACTGCTCTGCCAAAAGGTTTAATGAACCCACTGAGCTGCTGCTGCTGCTGTGCCCTCCCTCAGGAGTCCCAAGTGGTGCTGGGTAAAACCAGAGCCCTCTGGGGTGGGGATTTTGGGCCCCTGTGAGAATCTGTGCCTGTTCTCCTGCTCAGAGAATTCATCTCCCAGCTCTATCATCTCTGTTCATCTCACCAGTGTCTGCAGGGAGGTGTCAGAGGTTTGCAATCCCACCAGAGAAAGGGGGCCTGGTCACGGGAAATAAATGACATTTATTATTGATATTTCCTGGAAGGACTGGAATGTTTCAGTGAGAAACAGCTCGAAATTCCTTATATCCCATGGCAGTGCAACCCTTCAATATCCAGGACTATTAATCTCACATGAAAATGAAAAAATAAGGAATCAAGTGGTTCAAGTCTGATCCCTCTGAAATTACCATTTTGAGAAAAGAATGAAATGGTCTTTAACAGATTATTTCATGAAAGTTCTAATTTTGTTTTCTATTACAACAGGAAAAATAGAAGCCCAAGACTCAGGCAACTCTTATTCCTCAGTATTTCTTCCTCAGTAGTCCCTGGTGACCCGAGGGCAAACACTTTTGTATTTAAAGTGGTAGAACCCACACTCCAAGAAATGGAGGAAAACGACTCTGCAGAGATAAACTCCACAAAATAAATCGTGATATCAGTTTAATCTTCCCAGCACCCTGGGCAGCGCCTGAGGCTCCAGCCAGGCCCTGCAATGCCAGGGGGCAGGAGGGGTTAGAGGGCAGAGAGAGGAGGAATCCACAAATGCCAATTAATTTGACTTTACAAGAGCCAAGCTGGGGATGTATTTAAACAGAAATGAGCAGAAAGCAAAGATCAGGACCAAGGACATTGAAAAGTTGCTCTGATTTAATAACAGAGCAACGAAAAGAGAAAACCTTGGGACAAGGCTCAGTGGGGGAAAGGAAATCTCTTTTCAACAGCTATTTTAGTTCTGTGATGTGCCAAGAAAGGCTGTTATCACCTCTCCCCTTGACACAAGTTTGGGATGGGATGAGGGGCAGGAGATCATGGAATATGCTGAGTTGGATGGAATCCCCAAGGATCATCAGTCCAACCCCTGGCCCTGCACAGACCCCCAACAATCCCACCCTGGCCCTCAGAGCGTTGCCCAAACCCTCCTGCAGCTCTGGCAGCCTTGGGGCTGTGCCCACTGCCCTGGGGAGCCTGGGCAGTGCCCAACCAGCCTCTGGGGGAAGAACCTTTGCCTGAGATCCAACCTGAGCCTGCCCTGGCACAGCTCCAATGGAATGATCCAGCCAGTCTGAGCAAACAAGCAAAGCCCAACACGACGGCCCCTGCAAAGGAGGGATGTTCCTCCCTGCCCAGGGGCACAGCAGGGCCAGAGAGGGGACAAATCCAGCTGAAAACATGAGTCAAGGGAGCAAATGAACCCAGAATTCCAGAATCACCGAGGTTGGAAAAGCCCTCCAAGATCATCAAGTCCAACCTGTGACTAATCCTCACCTTGTCAACCAGAGCTGACACTCCACTGCCAGCTCACATGGAAGTGTGCACACCCCAGTGACTGCCATGATTAGAGACTCACAGAATGATTTAGGGTGGAAGGGACCTTAAACCCACCTCCTTCCACCCCCTGCCATGGGCAGGGTCACCTTCCACTAGCCCAGGTTGCTCCAAGCCCCGTCCAACCTGGCCTTGGACACTTCCAGGGAGCAGCTCTCACTGAAGAGAACGAAAGTGGCTGAAGCTGCACAACAGAGGAAATCCCTTCCCTGGGGGAGCCCAACCCTTCCCCAATCCCAACACTAAATTGGGCTGCATTTGTCCCCTTCAGACCAGCACAGGAGCACATCACTTCTCATCACACCACTGACATCACAGCCCAACTCTTAGAATCACAGAATCGTGGAATCATTAATGTTGGAAAAGACCTCTGAGATCATCGAGTCAAAAAGTTCCTCTGGGGTAAAGCCACCTGCTATGTCCCTAAATTTATCCTGAAACCTGTTTCCTTCAGGATTCTCCTTGGCCTGAGGTGCTTTAGCAGTTTTTTGAGGTTCATCTCTGACTTTAGACCTGGTGTATGAAGCATATTCCAAGTTTGTACCTCTGCCTTCAGCCCAAATGGTCTTGGACCAGTGAGGAAAGGGAACTCAGGAACTACAAGGCAGAATTTGGGCAAGTTTGTACTAATTTGGCCTTGTAACCCCTTTCCAGGAAAGAAGAAGCCAGGATACCTGCTGGACTGGATCCCACTAAAGACACACATCAGCAGCTCAGCTTCTGTGGCAGGGAGAGAGAGGATCATCCTGGGATGAGGATGGGCCAAGGAGACAAGGGTTTGACCAAAGGGGAGGCTGAAGAATACTCTGACTAACTCAGAAAGGTAAATTTAACTTTTTATATCTCAGCTCTTGTACCAGGCTGGGCCCAGAAGAGAAATGAGTGGAACAGGAACTGCAGAAAAACACCCTGAGGATTCCCCAGAGTGACCCTGCAGGAGGACAGACCTGCACCCCTGGGGGACATCAGGACACCCGAGGCCATGGGGGCTCAGTTTTTAGAGTTTACATCCTTTTTAACCATTCAAGAATTCCTGGTGATGGTTGTTGAGCTAAAATCCTTATTTAAATTGGGGGAGCTTAATTAAGATTAAATCTTTGTTTAAAGACAGGGGGAGAAATCCAGTAGTCCCACAGAGTCAAAATATTTAATGATTGTGGTGTTACTGGAATGAAATAACACAGGGAGTTCCCAAAAATCGGGTTTTAACACTTCCATTAGGGTTCTATTTTAACAGCAGCTTTAAAGAGCTTTAGGCAATAAGTGGAAAAAAATAAAAGCAAAGAAAGTGTTAATGAATCATTAAGGCCACATCTTAGAATAGTCCTAAGTCAGAAAGTGTAAAAGTTCAAGGCTTGATTAACCTCGTACTTCACATACACATAACTCTCCCTTTTTTCCATGCAGTGTTTGCATCTGAATTAATATCCAGGGTTCATTATCTGGGCAGAGTTCTCTGCCTTCAGCCCAAATGGTCCTGAACAGGTGAGGAAAGGGAACTCAGCAAACCATAATCATTCATCCAAATTTCTTAATCAAAGTTAAAGGAATTTATGAACTGAAATATGAAGAATACAAGGGACATAAAATTCTAATATTAGACAGGATGAGTTTTCCTTCTCTCTGTTTATTGTACACCATACACTGTTCACTGTTTAATTTATGATTAACTTCATTATCTTCATGCACTTAAATGTTTGGAGACTCTGTTTAAGGGAACTTCTTAATCAGTACCAAATTATATCAAATGCTCCTTAGAATATGGAACTGAACATCATGTTGAGATTTAAAAACTGCAAAACTAAAATTTAAAGAGAACAAATCATAGAACACTATGGATTACTAGAAGTTTTTAACACTCCATCAGCTGTCAAGTAGTTTTTAATTCTCACAACAGGAACAAGAGAGGTTTCATTTTTGTTTATATTATTTAGAAACATTCCTCTTTTCTATTTTTTTTTTAATTTAGAGAGAACTTAATTTTACAAGGTTAAAATCTGAATCAACTTGTTAAAAGAGGCACATTAATGTTTTCTTCCTCCTGGACCCTCATGAACAGTATCTGTACCATGACCTAAATGTACAATTTTCTCTTTTTTTTTCCTTATTTTGAGGAAGAGAAAGGCTTTATTTGACAAAACAAGCGTCAGCTGAAAGCTGTGTCTGCTGCACCTCCCCCTGCCCTGCACTTGCCTTGTTTATTCACTGGGGGGAAATATAATTAGAGAAAAAAAATGAAAAGTTTGGCCGGTGAAAAACACTTCCCACAGCCCCCAGAACTCCACGACAACCAGAATTATCAGGATGTACCTTCATGGACAGCCCCAGAGCAGGGCAACCAGGGAGACCAACTTTCCAGGAGTCTTCTCCAGCTCTGACCCCGCGGGATCAAACCGGGCTCCACTTCCCGCTCCGGGAGACGCGTCCCAGCAAAGGACCCTTGGAAGTGCTTCCCAACTTATCCCAGCCCACTGAGAACGGCTCCAGGAGCGGCTGAGGGGAGGGGGAAGAGGGAAAGCTTTTTTTCTTGGGGAAGGGTTGTGAAATGCCCTTTCCTCCCGCGGGAGAAGCCGACGCTTGGCTCGGGGAGACACCTGGGGACGGGCAGGACGAGCTCCAAGCTGCTCCAGCGCTGGAAAAGCAGCAAAAACCTCGGCCTGGGACACCAAGACCTTCCTCAGCACCCCAAATGCAGCACAACCTCAAGTCTCCTGGGATGTCCAGCAGCTCCACAGCAAAATACCGTGGATTTAAGGGAAGAAACCACCTGCAGGAGCCTTTCCAGCTCCAAGGTTGGCTGATGCCAAGAAGCTGCTGCAAGCACGGTTGTCCGTGCTTGCAGCAGCTTCTTGGCATCAGCCAACCTTCAAAGCTCAAGGGTGGGTGAAGCAGAAGGGGCTGGGGCAGGAGGGGAGCAGCAAAGTGGAAGCAGAGCAGCAAAGTCCTCACCGGTCTCTCAGCGGTGGCAAAGCCGTGGGGTGGAGCAGAACCTGCTGTTTGCAGCCCATCAGCCACAAAACAGCCGAAAAAATCAGGCTGATTTTTGTCCTTGGGATGGAGATGTGGGAAGAAAGGCTCCCAAGGGTGTAGGTGTCTCAGTGTGAACACTCTCCGTGGCTGAGGAGGTGACACGAAGCCCCAGATGTTTCCAGGAAGGGCGCTGGGAGTCGGAAGCACCTGCGTCTGCCCCCAGCCCCTGAGAGCCCACGGGAGGCTTTTCCAGCTCCTCTGACTGGAACAGAAACAGCCCCTGGGCCACCCAGGGCAGGAGGGGTTGGAGCTGCTGGAGCCCCAGCCCAGCTCAGGCTGCAGGTCCTGCAGGGCTGGGCTTGGTGTAATTCAACCCACACACCACCCAGGACCAGGTAAAGAACCATAATAATCAGATTTCTTTCAATTATTAATTTTTTTTTTCACTCTGAGCTACAAGTGTTTCCTCTTCCATATCTGACACTTTTCTCCAACTTGTTCCATCATCCACTGTTTCCCCTTTTGTTTTTATTTGAACACAAATCAGTGGAGGGGTAAAAAAAACCCCTAAGCCCTAACACATGACTCTAATATATTTTTCCCGATGTGATAAAATTCCTGATAAAACTTTGCAATGTCTCTGGAAAACTCTCTAAAACAAAGAAATGTTTTGCTAAGATATTCCCCACGAAGTAGTAATTCCAACACACCCTTAGAGTGTTTAAAGCCTGGTTGTGTTTTACCCTGTGGTGCACTATAAGATTATCTTTTCGCTTAACATTAATCTTTAACAGGAATTTATATAGAAACAATCTCACTGTATTCAAGTGTTTAGTCTGGGACAGGGAAAAAATATTCCCACCAGTCTATCCTGTTTAACACGGAGCCTTTTCACTTGGAATAACCACCCTGTTTGGGGGGATACAGAGACACAGCATATTTGGCTGGAATTTTATCTTTGAATCTCCCTATTTAAATTGGCATTAAAATACCTTGAATTTTGAACAGGCTTTTAAAAAGAAAAAAAAAAAAAAAAAAAAAAAAAAAAAAAAACAAAAGAACACCAATAGCTGCCTGAGCCACCAGAGCAGGAAGATTTCAAAATTCTTGTGGTCTGAAACCCGTTCAAAGATGAAATGATTGTGGATTGTTTTACGATCTCAGTCTGCCATGGAAATTTGTGGTGGTGCTGCAAGTGTTACAGTGACTTCTCCAGACTGAGGGTGAAGAGAACAGCAAAAAATTCCCTATTTGTTTGAAGGAAATGGATGGAGTAACAGCTCAGCCTCCCTCGAACTGCTGGTATGGGATGAACGAAACTGAGGGGCCTTTCCAGGTAAATCAGGGAATCACAGAGTGGGTTGGGTTGGAAGGGACCTTAAAAAACCATCTCATTCCACCCCTGCCGTGGGCAGGGACACTTCCACCAGCCCAGGTTGCTCCAAGATCCAACCAACCTGGCCTGGGACACTCCCAGGGATCCAGGGGCAGCCACAGCTTCTCTGGGCAACCTGTGCCAGGGCCTCCCCACCCTCCCAGCCAATAATTCCTTCCAATCTCCCATCTCTCCCTGCCCTCTGGCAGTGGGAAGCCATTCCCTGTGTCCTGTCCCTCCATCCCTTGTCCCCAGTCCCTCTCCAGCTCTCCTGGAGCCCCTTTAGACCCTGCAAGGGGCTCTCAGCTCTCCCTGGAGCCTTCTCTTCTCCAGGGGAACCCCCCCAGCTCTCCCAGCCTGGCTCCAGAGCAGAGGGGCTCCAGCCCTGGAGCATCTCCGGGGCCTCCTCTGGACTCTCTGCAGCAGCTCCACGTCCCTGTGCTGTTGTTCCCAGGGCTGGGGCAGCTCTGCAGGGGGGTCTCACCTGAGCAGAGTAAACACCCTTTGGTGAAGGAATTGGGCATCACTGCTGGGACATCACTTATGACAGTGGCCCAAAGAAACTGCTGCAAAAATTATTAATAATAATAATAACTGCAGAAGAGCAGCTGCTGTATTCCACAGAGACATTGGAATGCTACACAGAGGGAGGGAAGACACTCCTGAAACCAGGTGGGATAAGAGTCACCAGGGCAGGCTTGCCTCATGCTCCTGCTCAACAGTGTGGCTGAAATATGATTTTGTTCTGGGCTGCAACAGGATTTCATTAGTGTGTGTTTGGCTTCTTGCACAACACAAGCTTGGTGTGCTCCAAGGGCTGTGCCAAGGCTTTCAGAAATAGCCTTTTGCTGTGTTTATGGGCTACATGGAACATTATTAAAGTTTATTGAACTTTAGTCAGGGATAAGATCTAATCAGCAGCAAATAGGGCAAATAATCAAAAGTACTTGTTAAATAGAAAACTGTAACTCAGTGGAAAGATTAATGGAGCCGTCAGGAAGGTGTTCTCCCCTGCCCTGACAGATGTTGAGCAAATCCCAGTGTGCAACACCCAGTTGCAGTTGGAGGGATGTGCCCAGCAGTCCCCAGTACATCTGGGCTGTCCTGGGCACCCTGTACTGGTGCAGAGCTCTGCCCCGGGCTGTCCAGGGGATTTGTGGCTGGGTGGAGTGAGGATAACCCTGTTCCTCTATCCCATGGAGACAGGCCTTATGGGGAGCACGGGCTGCTCTGAGAGCAACAAACTGGTCCCAGGGCTAAAGCCACAGAGCTGCTTCAGGGGAAGAGCTGAGGGGCAGAGGAGGGGCAGGGACTGAGCTCTGCTCTGGGGGAGCAGGGACAGCAGCCAGGGAACGGCTGGAGCTGTGTCAGGGCAGGCTCAGGGTGGATCTCAGGCAAAGGTTCTTCCCCCAGAGGCTGGTTGGGCACTGCCCAGGCTGCCCAGGGCAGTGGGCACAGCCCCAAGGCTGCCAGAGCTGCAGGAGGGTTTGGCTGATCCTCTGGGGCACAGGGGGGGACTCTTGGGGCTGGGCCTGTGCAGGGCTGAGGGTTGGACTCCATCATCCTTGGGGGTCCCTTCCAGCTCAGCACATTCTGGGATCCTGGGATCCTGTGGTAGATGGACACATGGAAAGCAGGTAAATTCAAAGCTGCTGTGAAACCTTTGTCCCCCATCTGCATGTTCAGCAGCCCCTGGCCAGGCAAGTGCAGGGACTTTGCTCGTGGCTTTTCTCATTTCTGCTGCAGCACCTCCCCAGGGCTCGGCCTGCAGTGGCTTCATCACGTGCTGCCTTTAAACTGACCTGTTGCTCAGCAGCACCAGGGACACTCAAACAGTGTCTGGCAGAGATGCTGCTCCAAGACTCAGGACATTGGAAGCACCACACAGGCCCCCAGAGCTGCTGCAGCCGGGGCTGTGGGAGCAGAGCAAGGGAATTACAGTCATAAAATCATGGAATATCCTGAGTTCCAAGGGACACACAAGGACCATCCAGTCCAACCCCTGGCCCTGCTCAGACACCCCAACAATCCCACCCTGGCCCTCATAGCATTGTCCAAACCCTCCTGCAGCTCTGGCAGCCTTGGGGCTGTGCCCACTGCCCTGGGGAGCCTGGGCAGTGCCCAACCACCCAAAACCAGTTCTCTTCCCTCTCCTGCACATTCACCAGCCCTGCCCAACTCCAGCCCAGGGATCCTCTGTTTTTTCTGGCACACCACAGATGGGGAAATTCCCTGAGGCTCCTTTGGGTTAAAGTTTTCAGCTCCACACCCCTCTCCAGTTACCAGTGACAACTGCAATAAATCCCGGTGGCATCTTGTCTGTGCTCACATGTCCATCCCCCAGGGTTAGGTGGAAAAACACAGATTTTGGGAAACATTATAAATTATACCACACAGTGTTCAATTTTAAGATACCAACAACTGATTTTATCGATCATTTCTGAAATATTGGTCCAGACCTCACATCCTCCCACCAGTTCAGGTTCCACAGGAATGATCCAAACTGGACTTTAGTCATCCTGAAACTCTACAAAGGGCTAGAGCTCTGTGCTCCAGCTTCATCTTCACCTTTCTTCTCTTGCATGGTTCAGGAAGGAGGTTCATCTCTGCAGCCAAATCTGTCCTCACCACTCACTCGTGGTCCCAAAATCTCAGGGACTGCCCCCCACGTAACAAACCTCCTGGTCTTTATTCCCTGTGGGAGAAAGGAGGGATAACACAGGTGCTGGTTTTGGCTGGGGGGAAGTTAATTTTGTTCCCAGTGCCTGGTGCAGGGCTGGCTTTGGGATTTGTGCTGAATACAGGGTTAAGAATTTGGAGATGTTTTTGTTATTTCTGAGCTTGCACAGAGCCAAGGCCTTTCCTGCTTTTCCTGGGGAGGGGGCTGGGGGCTGTAGGAGGATGGGAGGGGACACAGACGGGACAGGTGACCCCAACTGCCCCAAGGGATGTTCCAGCCCATGTGACACCGTGCTCAGTGTATAAAGAGGATGGGAGCAGTGATGGTGTTTGTGTTCCCAGGTCCCCGTCAATGAGTGACAGGACCCTGCTCTCCTGGAGGAGCTGAGCACCTGCCCAAGCCTGGGAAGCAGGAAATGAATTCCTTGTTTAGCTTTGCTTGTGTGAGTGGCTTTGGCTTTTCCTATTGAGGTGTCTTTGTTTCAACCCACGAGTTTTCCCACCTTTACCCTTCCAATCCTCTCCCTGATCCTGCAGGTTGGGGGGTGAGTGAGGGGTTGGGAGGGCTTGGGAGCTGGATGGGGTGAGACCACACCCCCAGCCATGTGGGACTGAGGATGGAACAGGATGGAACGTCCCATGACACCTATCCACCTGGGATTGAGGATGGAACTTCCCATGACACCCATCCATCTGGGATTGAGGATGGATGGAACTTCCCATGACCCCCAGCCATGTGGAACTGAGGATGGAAT